CAAGCTGCCTGCTGCCTTAGAACGACCAATGCTTGAATAACGCACTAGCCGTACTATTGGCACGATGTCGTGACTTCAAGATTGGTGGGCAGTGACGGAGAGCTTCCGAAGATGCTGTAAGCCCTCGCGACAAGATTTGCGCTTAGTCTGCCAGCGCGACATTGATCTGTTGCTCTGTGATTTCCCGCGTTGGGGTGTTCCTCAGCTTGAGATTTCTTGTCATGCTGCTAAACTCGGCCGCAGGCGGAGGAACATTCTGCAAGCAACGGCAGCAACCGCAAGGCCCCACCTGCTTCGGCCTTCCATGGCTGCAGTCGCTTCTCTCCCGTGGGCAGTGTAGGAACGCTGCCTCCAGGTGAAGGACCTGGCAGTGCCACCACAGAACCGCGTCACTCGTGGCACGGCCCTTTGTGTCTGGCTGCCCCGGCACCTCGAGAACCGGTCCCATGTCATGCGGATCCTTGGTCTTTGACCATCAGGACTGAGGAGGAGCCACCCGAGGCTTGGGAGCGGACAGAAGGAAGCACTTCAAACTCGAATTCAGCGCAGTCCTTGCAGCTTGCAAGGTCAATCCAGCCCCGCAACTGCTAAGACCCAGCCTCGCCGTTCGCAGTTGCTTTGGGCGAGTGCAGCCTACAGGGGTCTCACTGTATGTCCATATAGGTGAAGGCAACTATATCCATCCAATTTCGACGTCGCGCGGAATGCATCCCCACGGTCGTGTCCGTCTGCAGCAGGGAGCCCCGGCCGCAGCAGCTACGGTCGCTTTTAATCTAAATGAATATGCTCGCCAGCTTTCTGTGAAAAGCAATACCCTGCACAACCACGTGGGTCAATAATTCCGTAAACGGCAATGCCGCGAGTCAACCCCCGACCTCAACGGCCTTCCCAACCTGCACAGCAAGTTCTTGCCTTCGGCATGCACCTCCAACCTCTACGAAGACGTCAGGCCTTGCGCGACTGAGCTCGATCCTAGCACGACCACGTTTGCAGCAAGCGGTCGCACTCAGGTGCGAGCCCGGCTGCTGAAGTCAGCACCCTGAAAAGCGCCAGACCTTCAGCAGTAAAGTCAGTGCATCAGGAGCAAGGAGCAAAGGAGGGGTGAAGATAAAATCGGCATTGAACGCCAGATCATGCAAGAAAGTAAACAAGCTTCGATACTGAGTAATTATGTCGCGACAGGGACTCAAAGGCTGTCTATCTGTATGCCAGCACTTTCGCAGACAGCGTCGCAGCAGTGATCCGTGGATCTTAGCGCTGTGCTCCACGCTAGTGGACCAACATTACGGCTGTGGCGTCAACAAGCATGTGAGACGCAAAACCAAACCCAGGGCGTAGTAAGGCCGCTGTTCATCCCGACAACCTGCTGCACTATTAGCATAGAGACCGAAGTTCATGAATAATTCGCGAAATCATTGGTCCGGTCGAATACTCAAATGACGAACGACCTGCGGCGTGCGACCAGTATGCGAAAGATGTAAGGCCAAGCCAAAAGTGACAAGTCGCAGTTAGTACCGTTCGGTCCAAGCTCTGTAGCAGGACATGTTAGGTCTGTCTGCTGCGATGCACTTGCGAGCGATGGCCCTGAAGCTGCAGAGCACTGAGTTTCGAGCGCAGCTCCACCTGAAGATCCTGCAGCCTCTCCTGCGCCAACTTTGTCAATCACGGCACATCATGATTCTGAACGAAGAGCCTCGCGGAGATTGCCCCAGAACACAACCTGTCGAGCCGACACGGCAGCTTACCCTTTTTTGGGCTGCACGACAGTCTTCACATGTCAGTCCTTCCCGCGCAACGGTTCGCGTCTCGAACCTGGCCCGTTGTACGGCTTCAGAGTCCAGGTCGTCAGGTCGATGGCACACTCTGTGCGGCGATAGGAGCGCGGCTGGTGCTGGATGAAGAGAACCAATGCAGCGGGCCCTTGCAACGAAATCCGGAAGCGATGCAAGTCTTCAAAGAGTCGAGCTTGAGTGTGAACAAATCGACATGCTCGCTGCAGGTCTCTCGAATTTAAAGACTTGCTTTGAGGCTTGCGATCTTCTGAGTGCCGCGCAGTACCAAACCTCGGCCAGCTCTTTGCACTCTGTCAACGCAACCCCGGCATTTCTACCTTGGCCTGCCTCCTGGGCGTGTTAGGGCATCCGAATCCAATGCGTACCGAGCAACAGCGACAAAGACCAAGAGCTGCCCGCAGGAAAGGCCTCGCATTCGTGCAATACAAGGCTCATGAAAATCTGCTTGGATCTGGCTTTCAAGGAATCGCCAGGGTCCAACTTTGCAGGTGTGCAAGTTGCGCATGGCTTGGCATGATTTCTCTTAAGTTAAAGCTGCTAAACACAGCTTCCGCAGAAAAGGCAGACATTTTCGTGCACGCCAGCAGCCAGCAGAGACTGGAGCACTCGCAACCCAGAAAATGCGAACCTCCAGCAGCCCGGCGTCACATGCTCGGGGGAACTGCAAGCGAAGCGAGATGAAGCCATGCACAACACGGCGTTACGTGTCTGCTGAAGTCAGTGCACTTGTATCAATTAAGATCGGCACGATGGCTCAACAGACATAGCTTCTCTTTCATCAACAGGCACTCCAGCACTCACTCGTCCGGCCTTTGGACCCCTGCTGTAAGACGGAGCCGGTATGCCACACCTCGAGATGGTGCAAGGTGTGTGGACTGCTGTATAACACCTTGAAGCTCATGGCAACCGCGGTTGCAGACCTGTCCAAACCAAGCTATCCAGCTTCCCGGAATCGACTCTGGAGTCTTCTGTGAATGCTGTCAGTGTGCACCAGTGTTGACAGTTTGGACACTTGAAAGAAACTGGAACTTTGAGAACGGAAATCAGGCGTGTGAAAGTGCCCACTCAATCGTGTAAGAACCAGGCATGCAATCGATTCGTCTTCGTTGGACGACTTGGCATTGGCGTTCTGGGGCCTTGGCACTGAACAGTCGGACGTCGTCGCCGGCGATTTTGGAAATCCGTGTGTTTGAAGAGCGTTTTCAGCACACACTTTGCTGAGCCTTGCCGTTTGCTATTGTCTTCAATGCAGGGCCTCTGGTGCTTCTTCAGCAACGGCCAGATCGCATGCCTGACACCGAAGACTCGTGATTGGGAAGACAGAACTTCGGAGGACGCACGGCCAGCTCCAACTTTCAAGCCGCCTCCTGCTCTCTGCTAAGTAATTCCGGAGCATCGAGACCTGATAGCTCTCAGCAATCACTCCGAAGGCATCAAAGCCCCTACATCCCTAGGCACTCTGAAGCTTGCAACAACAGCAGCCTGTCCTGGTCTGGCGTTGCAACACTTCAATGCACACAAATGAACATCCCGGCTCTCCGAGCCAGCGGCGCTCGCTGCGCTCGCGTTCCAGCTCCGTCGAGGATGAAGAGCGTGCCTCGGCCTGTAGAAATGCCGATGCGCTCTCAGAGAGTGTTTTGGCATTCTGGACAATGTGGTTTGACTGCATGTCAACTTCTGCGGACGCGTACTTTGCAGCGGTCCCCCATTGTTTCAAAATGCTTCGAGCTTGATCCGTCAACATGCCGAAGTGGTGGCCGTGACTGTGTGGCAACCTGGTAGCTGGACTGGGTCAGGCTACACATCCACGTCTGCTTTCTGAGTAAGTTAAACACGTTTTCCGCAGTAGTGCGCGCCCAGCTGCCAACCGCTCTGCTTGAACAGCGTCCCTGCTTCTCGGAACCCTTATTGTCGGAGACTCGTCACGACCAGCTACCCGTGTCGATCAGGATCTGAAGGTGCACAGGGTCTGGACGCAGCGGATATCGTGCAGATAGGTTGCCCTGAAGGACAGCGGACAATGTCTAAATCTGCTGTATTCCAGACATGCTGACCACAGAACCAACTTTAAGGCTCAGGGCCAATGCGGCGTCAAGCGACTGCTGAGAAGTCTCTTGAAATTTGCTGTGCGCTGCAAATGCAACATGCAAACTGCAAGGCAAACGCCTAACCCCTGCAGCCACAAAACTCAAACTGGGTATGGACCAGTTTTTTTACGGAAAGTGCCGAACTTTTCCGACGCTTTAGTCCTTCCGGCTCCTTTCCACCCCGCCGACCCTGCAGATCCCTTCTAGCAAATAGAAGGTAAGCCGAAATGCAGCGACTTGTGATCTGGGATTGTGGCCAGTAGACGCTCGCCCCAGACACTGAGCTGTGCGGCTGCTTCGACTGGAAGGCCGTGTGGGACAACAGGGGCTCTCGTAACAAAGACACAGCAGGTACCCTGCGCTCCTGTTGAGTCGACATCAGCCTGGCGAAGGGATAGTTACTTCGGAGTCTCTTACAAGATGTAGTGACGATTCTGCCACGATGACGAAGTCTGACATCACTGGCCTCGGAGACGTTCGAAACGGAGCGGTACCGCATGCTTGTCATGCCTGTCGGCTTCCAGAAACGCTGCGTCCAAAAGCGTGGCAGGCCCGGTCAACGGCTTTACAGCTCAGGTCATAAGGAACCGACCAGGTTCGTAATATCCGCAAGGAGAGAACAGTTCGGCCAAGAAAGAGATGTGAAAGAGGAAGAGCGCAAACATGTTTTCTGTGCTGCGCTGAGAGGTCCTTCGCTTTCTGAGGCCAGTGCTGGTACAACAGTGGCCAGGCAACAGAAAGCCTGCAGATGCGCAGGCGCTGTCCCACACAGGCTCTGCATGGGACTTTGCAGATTTTCGAGATAGTGCAGGATGGAAAAAGACAATGGTAGCAGGACCGCAGCGCACTGCCAGAGCTTCGGGCTTGACGGTTCGAATGCTACCACAACGACTTGGAACATGTAACCAATGAAAACCATAATCTGATGTGGACTTATTCGTATCGAGTGCACACGGCACTGAAGCGCTTCGCGAAGCACCATTCCTCTTACTCACTGGACCAGTTTGCACCTGGCACTGCTTTGCTTCTTGGACGGAAAGACGGAAACACGGCTGAGTCAACTTCAACAATGCAGCTGCTTTTTTTGCTGCTTCTCTCGGGGGCAGGAACGGTGACAGGCTCATTCCGATAACAAGCTGGTGACATCCAGTTCTTCCCCGAAGCCGGCAAAAGCAACGTCGCTTTCCTCCACTTGCAAGATGCCAAGAGGTCAAGAAACTGAGGACTGCGGCCCGGTCCTTGACCACCACCTCAACTTTGGAGATGGAACCGAAGGTCTTACCCCGGGCAAGTTCCTTAGACCATGCAACACATAGATTGGCGGCATTTGACGGCCTGCAACTGCACAACTCACTAGCTAAATTCACGGAAAGGCTCCCCTGCCAAATGTTGCTTCAGCCCGGAGACAAAGCGCCGGTGGACGGCCTTCCAGTCCACAAGCTTGAGATCGCTAGGACCGCCAGGACTGGGACAACTCTTCGTCGCCTCTGCCATGACTTCCACCGTCGTGTTTCGTCGCATGGGCTTTTGAAATTCCTCCTCAGCGACCGCCAGGCGCCACCAGGCTCTGAGTCCACCGCGTCTTCTGCGTCCAGGCATCCAGCTGATCGAGGTTCTTATGATCGTAGCACGCCATGATCTCGCGCAGCAACTGCTGGCCGACGCTTATGTCCATTAAAACGTCGCCTTCGCCCAAGGACCTTCCCATGCGCACGCCCGCATCTACTTGCATATAGCTCCTCTCGGAGCACGCACGAGGGCCTGCCGAAAACTTTGACCTGGACCACAGCCGTGCAGCCTGTGGTGAATGGCTCGCTGCCACCTCACTTCTGGCCAGGTTGGTGGATCCCAGAACCCAAGTCTCTGAACAGCTTTAACAGTGCAAATCGGCAGCTGAAGTGGAAGGTGTGCGAGTACATGCAGCGGTCTTGTACCCCAATGAAGAACGTCCCACACGATCGGATCGATTCCTCAAGGAGCTAGGGTCGGCACATATCTGCTCAAGAAGAATGCGACCATGATGGCCTTCAGGCCTTCCTAATTGCGAGCGTCCTTGACAACAAATTTCTTTGCGCTGACGGGTAAGTGTCTTCGGACTCCTGCAATGTGTTCAATTTCGTTCCGTTTCCCTCCAGGAGTGCTCGAGAAGCTCTCAGGTCCGGCACAGAGATGATGAAGCAGCCCATGTAGGGGCCCATGCAGTGCCATGGTGCCGGAACTCTGCGAGCTGGAGCTGGGCCCCGCTTGAGCAATCGGCTTCCCGACGTCTTCATTGAGGCAAACGCATGGAAGGCAAACGAAGGCAGAAGGCCCCGCCTTGCTTGAATGCATGCTCCGGCGAGCAGAGGATCATCTTGAAGGACCTTGGAAGCCGCAAGCGCATTCATGTTTTGAGATAGGGCCTTCTAGCAGCGTTTCCGGGATTTTCAGGGCCACCACTGCCGAGGACGATGCGCCACATGCTCTTCGGCACAAGCTGCGGAGCTGCAAATGGAGCCAAAAACAGTTCGCGATGTTGACAGGCACGACGCTTCAAGCTCAACTTCTTTTGCCTCAGTCTAAGGTGGCCCGGCGTGCACTGTGGTCAGGTTGAGGGTGGCGGCACAGCAGAGCAAATCCTTTTGCAAGGAGCGGTGCGAGGCAGACAGAGCTTTCCCCAGCAAGTAATGAAGGCCAGTGGCACCGGATCGATCGCAGAGCTCTCTCTGCAAAAATCGCTTCGGGTGATCCCGGTGGTAAGCAGGGGTGGCTCAAAGAAAACACGTGGCTAACCGAAGTCCAGCAAACAAGCGATCAACAGATTCATCTGAAACCGTCATCGTTGCTCGTCAGCCAGTGCTTCCTAGAGCCTTAAGCAAACTCAAGCTCGCGTATCAAGTTCCCTCTCATGTTGGCTTTAACACATCAGACCCGCATCCCTTCACGCAGCTCGCATCCAGGCAACACAGCCAGGAAAGCACAGACGCGACGCACAAATTTCGGCGTCGAAGAAGGTTTCCTTATCGTTTGGGCCACGCACACAGCGTGTTTGGAGGCTGAGCCAGCTCATTGCTTTTGGAGCTACGTAGAGACAAACTGCTGTGCTTCCTCCAAGTCTGCATTCCGGTCCGACTATATTCGGACTATTCCGACTCGACCTCCATCTCAAGCATCCTGGTGGCGAGCAAGATCAAGCCGCTGAACACAAGATGGAGCTCAACTTCCGCTTCCTCTCCCTAGCAATCTGCGCTGAGAACCAACAGCCAACTCAAACTCAAGCCCCGATGTCCGTGCCCTGTCCTGATCCACCGCTCGCGTGTGGCTCAGGGGAAGCCTCCCAGTACTAAAGAAACCAAGCAGCTGGGAGCAGTGACGAAAACATGCCAGCCGGGGCCATCCCAGCACTTGCGTCTTGATGTTTTTGCCCATGACCTTATGCGATTGAGCTAAGACTGAGGAGTCGGAGCCATGTCCCGCAGCCCCTCAGGAGTTGCAAGGTCTGCTTCAGAACTTCACATAAACACCACGTCGTCCCTGTTCCTAACCGTGGCTTTCAGCGTCTGGCCCATCTGTCAAAGGCATTGCCGTCATCATCCTGCAGGCACTGCTCGCATTTCGTGTGACTAACTGGCTGGCAAGGGACGAATTCTGAACACCTCGACCACCTCAATCATTTCGCCGATCTTGAGATCCATCTCACCTGCATGACCCAAACTCTGAGGTGGCCACATAGCCAGCTTCTATTGCGTTGCCAGTTGCCCGGCTGCACGCAAGCTGCGAATGTCTTCCACATCTCAGGTCTTCGCCTGAAGTCTCCGCGTGGAAGTCAATGGACACCACGCGAGTGTAAGGGACCTCAGCAACGTCTCTGCCTGTGCCTCTGACGGCATGACTTCACCGAATTCACCTTCGGCTTGTCAGCGCTTCTCCCCGCGGCAGATCGCCCGGGTACGTTGCTTTGGCCACCAGCCTGGGGCACAGAACGCGCGATGGCGACGTGCACTGGCCCTAGCTACAAATCCTATACCTACCGATTAAACATGGACTATTTGGGCAACATGTGCTGGGAATCTAGAAGTCTGACGAGATGCTCGTTGCGTCAAGTCTTCTTACTCATCTAATCAGGTCGATTCGATCCCCGGCTCAGGGCACGGCCAAGCTCATTGGTTTCGAGAAGCCCGCTACACCTGATATGCTTGCACAAGAACGGTTCTGTCTTTCAACCCATCCAGTCAAGATGGGGCGGATGAATTTGACGGTGTCACACGAGCTTGACCCATTGCTTCCTAATCAAGCCTATGTGCTGAGCGGGCGGCTGCGAACTGCGGAGGGCGCATAGACTTGGCTGGGCGCCCTAGAACCTGGAAAGGAGTCAAGCCCTCATCCCCGACTGGAAACTACTTGCATTCCCTTTTCCCCTTCAGAGCCAAGCTGGCGTAACCATTGGTGCCTCCGAGGCGAATGCTGGTAGCGGCCTGAGATGTAGTTGCATGGATGTGGATGGTACCTGAATTTTAATTGAAAACAGCAGACGACGAGTCCCTTCAAGCTGCTTCTACGAAACTGATATCCAGAGTCTCGAGGCAGCGGCCCGGGTGGAGCCCCGCTCCATGGCAGAATCGGTCGAGCCTGGCAGAGTTCCAACGCGCAAAAGCAGTGGCTCTGGCTCTGACGGACCGCCGGCCTTGGCTCGCCGCTTGCAAAAATGTGCAGGCATTCAGGTACACTCGGCATAGACCCTCCTGCAGCGATTCAGTACCTACTTGCAACAGTCCACACTGGCAAACGGTCTCTAAACAAGCTGCAAGACTGACTGCATCAGCTCGTCTCCTTCGCAGTGATGTGCACCTTGTGGTTCGCGTGCCTCTACATGCATCAAGATCGCTGCAGTCCCATGTCATGTTCGAGCTCAAGCGGCATCTGGACACATAAATGTTTCAGGCCTGAACACGATCGTGGCACCCTTGCTGCTGGACCAAGTCACTGTCTCCTGGCTGCAATCGTATGGCTCCATCTTTCAGCAACATTGTAAGATCGACACTGTACGTAGCCTGACTCACGACATCTCCCGGACGAAACCATTCGGGATGTTTCCCCGCCACTCTGCCACAACCTGGCCTTCTCATAGTCAACTTCAGTGGTCCCATCCTGCCCAGTCAAAGCCCGCTCGATCTCGGACTTGAACTCCTGTCACACAGCGAGACGCCTCGAACTCGACCAATAAGATCTGATGTGTTCTTGCACATTGACATCTGGATAAAGTGCTTGCCGGCACATCCTGCATGTCTCCAGGATACGAGCGCTCCAAGTTCTTCATT